CCCCCCCCCCCCCATGTTATTAAAATAGATCCAAGAATCAATACCAACAAATGAGCATTGTGTTTTCAGTGGCAGTAGGCTGTTAGATTTATGAGACCGTTAATGTCCTGAGAGTGATGGTGAGAATTTGTTTAATGAATGGAAAATAATATGAAGACTAGAGTACCAATTGAACCAATAATGTCCCTTTTTTCTTAATAATGTTTTTATATCAAGTTATTTATCTCTTTTTTCTGAAAAAACAAATTATGCAGTTACGTCTCGAACTCAGATGGCCATTTATTTCTAGTTTCTATCACAACGGACTGATTATCCCCAATGCGCTAATTGCTGGAGCGTCCAGAGGCCCGCAACCCTGCTCGGCTTTTAATGTTCTTAATCTTGTTTGGGTTCACTCACATCGCATAATTCATATATGCTTTAGAGGGTTCATTTACCTTACCTAGTCCTTCTTTTACTAGAAAAAGAAATTAACGAACAAAATGGTAAATGAGTCTTGAATGATTATGCCTTGTCATTGTTCCAAGGGTTTCAATATGTATTACATGTATGTAAATCCAAAAATTTTACCTATATATAAAGTGTAATTTTTCGACGAAGGTGTTTGACCAAAAAGTGCTAAGCCTCTTTGCAAAACTAATTAAATAAGATGATAATGGGCAAATCTTAATTAAATATAATAAATCCTAGATCTGAGATTAATAGACGTCAATAACGTAAAACTGCATTTGAGGCTATAAAATACCAAGGGAGTGTTTAATGATATTGTTGCGAACGAATGGGGAGGATAATGACAAGCAATAAATATAATAAATGACAATAAATGTAAATAGAGAGAATGATTCACCCAAATATTCAATGAGGTGGATGATTCTCTCTCTGACAATGATGTAAGGCAATCAAATGTGGGAATATAGAAAGCTTTTTCGGATATGATGTGGGAAAGCTTCGGACCAACAACAAATCGAATCTTTTGTAAAGACAATGTTTGTAGTTACTTGAGAGTCAACTTTTCAAGAGAGAGCTTATCATATAGAATATTACATGCCTTTTCCATTCTCTCCCTATTCCTAATTATATGGGACATATCCCTTGCCTAACTGAAAGTACAAGTGCAGAGAATATTCTGTAGAATATTCCTTTGAAATATTTAATTACTAAACTAGTCGTTTGGGCCGATCTGAGTGCTCGACCTCGACCCTAGCTGCTCGGCTCGCCAATGTTACTTCTTAAGCATGACCTCGGCCTAATCAGCTCTTAGTTATCCTCTCGTAGACAAGATTCCTTTGATCAGATTTTGACTCATACAGTTAGTCCCTCCGCCCGTCGGGGTTGTCTTTGGACGAGCTCGATGGGCGGACTTTGCCAATTGCAATTTTGAGAAATCTGAGCATGTTGGCCGAGGAGAGACCCTTTTATGGCGAGGTGATGAAGTGGCACTTCAAGAGCCATATTTGATCGTTATGTCAGTTCGAAATGATGTCATTTCATCATGTGTCATTATGGTGCATGTTCCCAATATGTTACGTCTTTTACCGCGCCTCTTTCGTTTCGAAAATCAATGCGGCGGCGTTTTGCTTTCTCGATCAGGTTGCCAGTATTCTTATAAATAGGGATGGGGGTTCCTCATTTGAACTGCTGCATTTCTTGAGCATTCGAAAACCCCAAGCTTCCCTTTCTTCTTCTTTAAAATTCTTGCATCTTTATCTCTCCCTCCTTTTAGCATTTTCCGCCATTGTTATCCCTTTCGCCTTTGCACTTTCTTCTCATATACGTAATCAGAGAAATGGCTAGTGCATCTTCTAACCTTGAGGGAGCCACTGATCCTGTCGCGTTGAGTGGACATGCCTTCTCATGAACAAGGAGCAGCCATTGTAGAAGATAAGAATTTCCCCACCATTGATGTGAAATTCCACGTTCGGGGAGGGTCAGGTGTCACGACCCAAGTTCTCCCTCCGTGAACTGTCGTGACGGCACCTAGTCTCTACGACTAGGTAAGCCTAACAAATTGCGAAAAATGAATTAAAGATATAAAAACTAGCCAACTAACAGGTAAATGTAAATAAAGTGTTTACAATACCGCTCGGCATACACAATAACACTCTCTCAAACTGAACATAGCACTCCCAAAACCCGGAATCTCATGAATCACAAGCTAATGAAATACATAGTGTTCTAACTCCAGAAGTCTAAGCAAAAGTAAATACAAGAAGTCTATAACTAAAAGGGGGAATAGAGAGGGAATTCTAGGTCTGCGAATGCGGCGGATATACCTCGAAGTCTCTGGATCGCCTCGCCTCACGGATAGTATGGGTGAGCAGAAGAACCTGGATCTGCACATGAAAAACATGTGCAAGAAAGGGCGTGAGTACACCACGGCGGTACCCAGTAAGTGCCAAGCCTAACCTCGGTCGAGTAGTGACGAGGAAAGGTCAGGGCCCTACTGGTTATATATATAACAAGGTAGAACAGTAAGAAATTTATAGTACAATTGAAATACTAACAGTCAATAAAGATGAAATCAGGGAAAAAAATAACTAAGTAAACAGAGAAAGCAACAGGGGATCTTCCGGGATAACGTCCCGTAGTCCCAAGCGTAAATGTGCAGAGGATCTCCCGGGATACCGTCCCGTAGTCCAAATTGTAAATGTGCAGGAGATCTCCCGGAATACCTATCTGTAGTCCGAAAATAAATATCCAGTACAGGGGGATCTCCCGGGATATCGTCCCGTAGTCCCAAAGTAAACATGCAAGGGGATCTCACGGAAATCCGTTCCGTAGTCCCAAAATAAATACACAACAGTATCAACAAGGAAATTTACAGTTCTATACAAGTTCGTATCAAGAAAACAAGTAATTCTACCCTAAACATGCTACACAGAATCCAAGTAAAACAGTTAAGACAGTTAAGTCACGTAAGCATGCTTTCCTAAGCTAAATAGGAGGTTTCAAATACTAGTATTGCTCAATTAAGGAAAAACACAGATATTTACTTAATGAAAACGAGGATTTTCAACAATTAGCACATGTACGCACTCGTCACCTCACGTACAAGGCATTCATATAACAACAGTACCAAAATCCTATAAGGGGAGTTCACCCACGCAAGGTTAGGCAAGCCACTTACCTCGAACCAAGCTCAATCAATCCGAAATCACGCTCTTTCCACGAGTATCCAACTCCGAGTGGCCCAAATCTAATCAAATCTATTTCATAACGTAAATATAACTACAAACAACTGATTTAGCTCATGAAATCGAAGCTAAGGCAAGAAAATAGAAAACGCCCAAAAATCCTCCCCGTGCCCACATCCCGGAATCGGGTAAAAATTACGGATTATGAACACTCATTCACTCACGAGTTCACTCGTACAAAAATCATCCCAATCCAACGTCAAATTCTTATTCAAAACTCAGATTTTCATTGGGGAACTTTTTCCCCCATTTCCAAACTTCTACCCTCAAATTCCTTAACGAGATGAGAAAATAACAATAGATTAATGTATTAGAACCAAATTAGAGTTATAATTCGTTACCCAATAGTTCTCCTTCAAAATCTCTCAAGAAATCGCCTTCTACCGAGCTCTAAATCAATTTTTGAAGTTATGAACTCAAACCCTCGATTTCACTCTTTTTTTCTGCCCAGCGATTTCCGCTTCTGCGAGGGGTCCACTGCACCTGCGGTCCCGCTTCTGCGGCTGGGGTTCCGCATCTGCGAAAAATCATTAAGCCTCCAAATACCGCACCTGCGCTCCTTTCCTCGCAGATGCGATTCCGCTTCTGCGGTCTTTGAGCCGCATCTGCGACCAACCGCCCTTATGCCTTAGACCGCATCTGCGGTTGCCAAACCGCTTCTGCGGTGTCGCACCTACGGTCCGAGCTCCGCAGGTGAGAAACCAATAGGTTCAGCACATCAGAACTTGCCTAAGTCCAAATTCAATTCCGTTAAGCATCCGAAACTCACCCGAGGCCCCCGGGACCTCAACCAAACATGCCAACCAATCCTAAAACAGCATACGAACTTAGTCGAACCCTCAAATCACATCAAACAACGCTAAAACTACGAATCACCCTCCAACCCAAGCCTAAAGAACTAGAAATCTCAAGAATTCTACAACTGATGCCGAAACCAACCAAACCATGTCCGATTGACCCCAAATTTTGCACACAAGTCACATTCAAACTACGGAACTATCCCAACTTTCGGAATCGGATTCCGAACCCAATATCAAAATTTCACTATCGATCCGGAAACTTCAAAAATTCAACTTTTGGCATT